TTATTGTTAAGATACTGCATAGAAGTGTTAAAGTTACATGACTAAGGTAAAGATTACATTTCCTACTGAGCATTAAAATAATTTTTATTTTAATTTTATTGCAAGGTAATGTACAGAGGAGGTACAGTTTCATAAGTAAGGTAGTGAGTATATTTGTTGTCTAATTTGTTACCCCTTCTCATATTAAAATATTAAATGAAAAAATTTCATTAAATTTAAATGAAAAAGTTTCATTTCAACATGTCTCTACATTCACTTATGAATTTGATCATAGCCCTCTACTACTTGTGTGTGTGTATTTTCTCTTTTTTCTCCTTATCATTACAGGTAGTTATCATTCCAAAACAGATTGTTTTCATCTATTTTAAGTTCCACAAGTACCACAAAATCTGTAGCAGACAAATAAATCAAATAATCCAAAAGTCCAAAAGTTACTGCTATTGAGCTCAAGAAATAATGAAGTCTCTAAAAACTAGGAAGCATAGAAGAAGATTCAGTAAACCTGGAGAAGAAGTTACATAATGGAAACAGTGTGACATGATCTGTCAATGACTGGGAATGGAAATGCAGTACATTCTACCAGTAAGAGTTAGAATGGCTGAATGAATAAAACCTCCACTCCAAACGAAATGTGGATTCCAAGAAATTCAATTCCCTTTCAATGAATGGCCTTCAGTGAGAGTAAGTAAATAATGTAAGCCAGACCCAGAAAAACAGAAGTTTCATGGTTTCTCTGAGTGTAGTAGCTAGAATGTCCCATAAATCTACAGGTAAATGAAAAAGGATAAAAAAGAAAAAGAAAACAACAACAAAAACCTTGCACGTCATAAATTATACAGGTCCTTGGCATTCCTCACAGTGAGAAAAAGGGGAATGTACTCTGGAGAGAAACACACAGATGTAATACCTATGTGCGTCTGATCATAAAAAATGATGTTTGTCAAAATAGAACTCCAGGAAATGGGAACAAGAGAGATCTTTATTATGGTTTTTGTGGGCATGGAGTCACAGAAATGGTAGAACAAATGGTGAACAAATACAGCAGTGGTACTCATTAGACATTATGTTGAAAATAAGCCATAGAGCTGGAGTGTGAGGAGGGGAGAGAAAAATAGGGACAGAAAGGCTGATACTGTTCGAAAAGAAATGTTCTCTTCATCTTACTTATGTAACTCTAACCTCTCTGTACATCATCTTTATAATAACAATAAACAATACATCAAACAGAAAAAGGAGTGGAAGAAGGTACTCCATGCAAATGAAAAGGAAAAGAAGGCAGAAGTATCCTTATCATATCACATCAAACAGATTTTAATCAAAACAACCAAATGTACAAAGTTTGTAATGCAATGATGAAACCATCAGATCTACCAGATAACAGAACAATTGTAAAATTATACTAACTCATGATCAAAGCAGTTAATTCTATATAAGCAGACTTTGAGCTAATCCTCCATACAATAATAGCTGAAGATTTCCTAGAGAGACATTTAGACCAACTAAACAGGTAGGTATCAAAATTAAATTTCAACCTTGGTTAGATGAGCCTCATATCCACCTACAAAATGTTTCACCCAATGTCTGAATAATCCATCTCTCATCAACATATTGAGCATTCTCCAGGAGAGATGGGATACAATACAAAACAGCCAGATTTTAAAAGTATGAAAAGCAAATTGAACACACCTACAAACCACACTGTGGTAAGGCTAGAAATTAACAAGGAAAACACAGTAAGAAAATATGCCCATAACATAGAAATGAAATGACTTGTTTCTTGCATTTAATTTAATAAAAAGCATTCAATGTAATTAAATGATTAATACATATTAAATGATTAGTTTTTCAAAGCATCTGTCAAGAAGTTTACTGAACTTGGAAGAATATCAGAATCTATACATATAAAAAGAGCAATGAAATGAAATTGTAAAAACCTTCATTGAAATCAGGAATAGAGATGTTATACTAGAGAACATATGTGACATCTCAAGGAGCTAGAAAAATAAAACCAAAATTAGTAGAAGGAATGAAATAATGAAAATGAAAAAGAACTAGAGACTAAAACCCATATACAGGAGACTAGAAACAATCAATATAGCCAAAAGGAGGTACTACAAAAACAACAGGGTGATAAAACTGAAGTAAAGCAACAAAAAATTCCACATATTGAAATACACTTCCAATTGTTCTGGATGACAGAATCATTATAGTGAAAGTACCTATACTAGTGCAAAACCATGTACAGAAGATTCAATATAGTCTATATCAAAATTGCTGAGGAAGAACAAATGCAATAGTGATGTACACAAGATAATATTGGAACTGATCTGTATAGCTTGGTGGGGGGTTTCGGGAAAGGGGAAAATGGAAAAAATTTGACGAAAGGGGTAACAAAGATGGCAATAAATGTACTCATTGCATTACTGATGTAATGTACATGTACATCACCTTGAGAATAATATATACATGAAAAAATAAATATTCTGAGACTAGTCATATTAAATAAGAATTTCTTTATTTCCTTCACAGAAATAAAAAGGGAAAAACAAATTATTATGAAAAGGAACCTGCAATTAGCCGGTGCTATCTTAATACAAAAAAAAACCCTGAAAAAATCCAACCAAGGAATAGAAACTTGTGATGAAATGCACTCATTACCTTTCTAAAATAACTGTAACCCCTCTGTAAAATATCTTTACAATACAATATCTATTAAAAATCTAAAGAAATTAGAAATAGAAATCACAACAGAAAAAGGATATTCAATTAATTGGGCAATCAGGACACCCATTAAATATTCATTAACCCACAGAAAACTTGCACTTTTGGTAATGGCATATAAAAATTACAGTTTGCAGATCTTTAAGAAATTAAAACTATTTCTACTGGTGGCTTATATCTGAAATCTTAACTGAAGAAGAAGATGACAGCTAAAGATCCTGAGTAAAAGCAAACTGTCAGAAAAAAGTCCCTGCCATATTTTAGCTCCAGTCAAGCAACAAAAAGCTGCAAGTGGAGGTGTAGCTCAAATGGTATACTGTCAGTTTTGAGATAAAAATTCATGCAAGAGTCAAAATAAGTCAATCACTAGTGGCTTATTCTTAGCTACCTCAGAAAAGTGAAACTGAGTAGAAGAAATTAGATATATGGGAGGGAAAAATGATGTGTGACATAAACGGAAATGTTCATAAACACGAGGCTGAATGTTATCAAAATATGTGATATGAAGTGGGGAACTACAACATGGACCAAATAATTGGCACAAGCACCCTATTTTTATCAAAATTGGCAAGCATCAGCTAGCCTCAGTGGGCATAGACATGAGTCAAATCTCTCACCTACTGATGTCTAACTGCAGTGCACTATTTGTCTACAAGAAAACCTTAGTCAATAAATTCTATCTGGAGTCAATAGCATACAAAAAATGCTACTAACCTAGACCAGACTTTACTTGTATCTAGGCTTAGCAGAGAAACATCCATGGGCTAAAACCATATTTCTCTACTTCTCTATATTAGCACCTTAACAGAAGTGCTTAAATATATTGTGGAAAATTAAAAAAATGAAACTCAGCAAAACATAGTTAAATAGTGTGGAATATAAACAATAAGGGAAGCCAGACAGTAGGGCTTCACACCTTTATTCTCAACTACTAATAAGGCTGAGGATCATGTTTTCAAGGCAGCCTGGGCATGGATATCTGTGAGTCTCTTATCTCCATTTAACTACGAAAAGATGCCAGAAGTGGAGTTGTGCCTCAAATGTTAGAGCACTAGCCTTCAACAAAATTGTTCAGGAACAGCCCACAGGCCCTGAGTTCCCAGTACCAGCATGAAAGTAAGAAAGATAAACATATCAGTGACATATAAAATGAATCCATGTATCTTCTATAGCACAGAAGAGAGTAATTCCTATCCTGAGATCTGTGCTCTCAATTTTAGGCAGCTGCCTAGGGCTACAGTTTTCATACCAGCACTTAGAAACCAGTGCCAATGATAAAGACAATAATATATTTTTTGCAATAAGAATCAGATAGTTTGAGAGAATTCCTTGAAGTTCTGTGCAATCATTTTTCTTTTCTTTTCTGTTTCTTTTAGTATACCACTTATTAGTGAGACTCTGAGTTACAGACCAAAAACTTTAAGAATATGCATGTGCACAAGTGGAAAGAACCAATCTTGGGAACATAAAATTCTCCACAAAGAAACTTTCATAACGCTGAGCTGTCTGGTAACCCTGGTTGTTGGAGCATAACTGACATGAAACAATACCAAAAAACATAGTTTGGAACAGTAACTGCTTGTATACATTAAGAATGTGTGACTGTATAAGTGTGTGTGCACAGAAGAATGTGTGTTTGTGCTTGTACTAGGGCATGAAATCAGTGCCTGGCCACTGTTGTGCTTTTGGCACAGCTAGAACACTGTTACATGAGCCACAACTTAATTTCCAGCTTCTGGCTAGTTAATTGGAGATAAAGATCATAAGATTTTCTTGCTTGAGCTGGCTTCAAACCTCCATCCTCAGATATCTGCCCTATGAGTCCTTGGAATTATAGGAATGAACTGCCATAAGAAATTTTATCAACATTCTCAAAATATGTAGGTATTACTGGCCTAGCAGTAAGCAAATGGAGTGTCAGCCTTTGAAAACAGAACAATTCCAGTGACTCAGGTTGATTATAATAACATTACTTTATTTTCCACAGTGACAGCTGAAATGGAGGAGATACAGGTATGCTGGAGAAAAGTAAAGAGCTTATAGATATGAAAATGAGAAACTACTAGGAAGGAAATGGAGCCCTCTCCTGCCAGCAGGCAGAAAATCAGTCAATAAGAGATGCAAGGCAAAATAATGAAACTAACCTGCTCCTGGAGCAATAAGGATGGAGGTCAGTATAGGGGAGACAGAGATGATTGATGTGCACACCCAGAGCTCGCTCACCCATGGAATGTGCTCAGAATAAAATAGTAATAGAGATAAAATCTGAAATTACTTACAACTTGTTGTCTTCTTGCCTGGCAGCATGGCTGTTACTGTGATCTATTCCCAAAGTGTACATGGGGAAAATCCCACTTATCATCACATCTCCATCCATGTGTGCTCGGTGCTTCATTGTAGAAAAGCAGGTAGTGTCAGCCAAGGACCTGACAGGGAGGGGAAGATGGAGAAAGAGAATTACTAAAGTGAAAATATACATCCCTGAAACATCTGCCAAGCAGAAATTCTAGCTGGAAGTAATGATCACAATTTCACAGATATTCTTATATCTTTGTATATGTGCGTATTTTTCTTTATTGACAGAGATCTACATTATAGCTTACCTCTAATTAAAGTCTCTCTGAGTCTTCAGAAGTAATGTGTAAGACTATTCCCAGGGGCTATGCATTAGTAGCCCTGCATCAAGGAGAAAAACACAAGTTAGAAACATGTTTTCATGCTTTCTTCACTGCAGGTGCTGTGATTTCACCCAAACACAGATAGTGAGACCACAGAGATGGAGTTATCTTAGTTGTAATTTCTCCAAAGTCTGTGTCAAGAAAATATTTGCATGAAAGTCATTTAGGATGATGCAACTGGATTGTATGAGATGATGGCATATCATGTGAATGGTGAAATGGCCAGAAAAGTGTATGTCTCTGAGTTGTCAACTGAATAGTGACGGTATTATAGTTTAGAGTGTCAATTTACATGTACCATATCCAGGCAAATATCCTCTCTTTTGATATCTCACAGTTTCTACACCATAAAGATGCCAGCAGTGTCCAGAGGAAGATGGCAGAGGAGAAGCTGGGGACTAATCAAGATCTCGCATAGAAAGCAGTTTTAATTAATATAATTCATCACATCAACAAGAGCAATGATTAGAACCACATGATTATCTCAATAGATGCAGAAAAAGCTTCTGACAAAATCCAACACCCTTTTATGATGAACGTTCTGGGAAAACTAGGAATCCATGGAACATTCCTCCATATAAAATGGCTGTATATTACAAATCTATTTCCAACATTAAACTTTATGGTGAAAAAATAAGTCATTTCCTCTAAACTCAGGAAAAAGATAATGATGTCCACACTCTCTACTTCTCTTCAATTTAGTACTAGAATGCCCAGCTACAGCAATAAGACAAGATGTAAACATAAAGATGATCGAAATAGGGAAAGATGAAATAAAACTCTCCCTCCTCACAGACAACATGATCTTGTATTTAAAGAATCCCACAGACTGCAGTCCCAAATTACTTGAGCTGATTTGAAACTCTGGCAAAGAAGCAGGGTATAAAATTAACCCTCAAAAATCAATGGCTTTCATTTCCTCTTAACTCAGGAACAAGACAAGGATGCCCACTCTCTCCACTTCTCTTAAATCTCGTATTAGAATGCCTAGCTACAGCAATAAGACAAGATGCAGACATAAAGGGGATCCAAATAGGGAAAGAAGAAATAAAACTCTCCCTCTTTGCAGATGAC